ATGTACCTACGTGTCAAGCAAGGCCTGGCGTCTACAGAAGCCGATCTATTATGTGGGGATAAAAGCAATGGGGGGTTTGTTACATCAGCCTCCCGGGAAAAAAAGTAAAGGGAAGAATTTATGTCAAAAAAAGAAAGATTTGACGGGTGCTTATTGCGTCATGTCAAGATCTGATCTGTGGATTCATCTCCCTTAGAATAAAATTGGTTTGGACCGGTTCATGATTCATTCATTTCATGATTTTAAATACAACATAAAACACAGAATACACCACAGGTGCTTTACAGTACGGTTGGATCCAGTTACCGCAGACTGTAATTTCACACCTCGATCAAAACACACAGATTTTGTCTTGCTCAATTTCATTTTTTGGTCTCTGCAAAGGGTCTGGTTTTCACAATTGATTTGTAAACACACTCAATTGGGCTGCACTATCCATCACAATGTAATTGATTGCGTTTTGTAGGTGTTTTCCTTCACACACAGCAAATTAGTTTTGTTTAGAGCTCTGTAAAAGGTATTTTCCTTTTTACATTTGCACTATTATATTTCTAATGAGGTAGTATTTCTCAAAATGGAAGTGCATTTTGACTGGACTTTTTAATGACATCATTTTATTTCAACAGTGAAAATATTGTCAAATATTATACATCATATAAAAAAATATTATACAAATCATATTTTTTTCTTGAATTCTCCCGGTTCACTTTGAGCGTTATTATTGCTTCATTACAGAAATCTCGAATGTCATCGTAGTCGCAATGCTTATTGACACAAAGTCAATAAGTAGTGTGGATATTGTACGAACATTGAGCTTTATCTTGAATAAGTAAATTTTGTTCAATTTGTGATTGAAGCACATTCCATGCAGATGGCCCCCAAAATGGAATGTCTTTTTTCCTATCTCAGTCCTTCCTCCGGGGACAGCATCATCATGACGCACTGAGACCTCAGGTTGTGAGATCCAACGCTCCTGGACACAAGATAGTCAGCTAGATACTGAGGCAGCAGACCAAACAAGACTGGGATATGGGTTCTTAGTATTCACCGTCTCGCCTGCCACACAGTCCTCCTTCTACCACATGCAGCACTTGTACCTTATTTCATCAAGCCATACACCTCTGCTCAACAGCATGACTTATCGGCTTCATTTTTACAGAGCCTCTTGCACCTTGCATCAACGTTTGTGCAGCAATGTGCCTCCTCCCCATCATCACCTCATCAGTGGAGAAATCATCTCTTTGTAGTTTCAGTTTCAATCTCCACCAGGTTGTAGGCTGGGGGTTCACAATCTCAAAATTCCTATTAATTATGTAAGGCAAATTTTATGCTTGAATCAAATTGCCAAATCTTGTTGCTCAATTTCTGTTCCGGATAGAACCACATCATGGACCTTAATTGCCTAATCATGTACTATATTCTGTATGTATTCAATCTTAGTATTTAATATTAGTAGTGCCGGTTTTGAAGGAAAACATTGAGTAATTGATATTCAGTGTACAGTACATATCAGAAAGGATGCTCCTGGTCAGTCTACTCACAATCAGCTAAGATATACGTTATTGATCACACAACTGAGAAAGCTCATAGAGAAACAGATGTGTCCATTTTATTTATTTTTTCCGTAGCTGGCTGAAACAGTATTTACTTTCTGGATTTGACTCGTAGATTTCCAAGACAGCTGGTGATCTGGAGCTCAATGTTTCAATGGATGCTCTGCAGATGTAGAGCATGATGTGTATTATCTGCAATGTAGGACAAAAGTTAGCAATATTTTTAAACGTGGCAAGTCATACATTTGATGAAGTATTCACCAATGTTAAATGAACAATATACGAAATGATTTGCGGTTGGAATGAAATATTAATTTGCAGATGAAAGAGTAATGCAGTGGCATGGAGTGAGATAAGTAGTGCAGAATGTGCATGTGCATATTTTATGGCAAAGCATCAGAGTGACTGTGTATGAAAAATATGATGAATTTGTGATCGAGTTCTTTTAACTTGTATGTAAAATTGTTAATTTTAGTTTTACAAAATCAAACCCACACAGTTTGAAAATTATAAATAAGGTATACAAGTATGAATTATGTGGTGGTAAAGACATTCTTGAGTTAATAATGATGAAACAAAAATCAACATGATTTTAAGATTTGGCTGAGATTGTATTTCTTTGAAACTGCGGAATAGATTCACTGAAAAATGCATTTGAAAACTTACAAATATTTAACAATGATCAAAAACACCCCTGGCGCTCTACAGTTCATTATAGGTAGAGGTAGACTGACAAAATCTGCATCATCAGCCCCTCAGACCACCACTTATCTAAGTACTTACTAACTAACTACTACTTACTTTTGTGGATGCATAATGTAACCAACTTTAATTGTTGAAGAGGAACTGAGGAGGAACTGAGTAGGCTGAGACGGATTGTGATGGACTGGAAATATATAATGACATAATATCAGACATTATTGTATGATATTTTTGCTCCATTCACATAAACGTCACAAGTGCCATGTACTTGGCACGGTGGCTGAGTGGATAGCACTCTCGCCTCTCTGGATTCGAATCCCGGTTGGACCAGGGCCTTTCTGAGTGGAGTTTGCATGTTCTCCCCGTGTCTGCGTAGGTTTCCTCCGGGTGCTCCGGTTTCCCCTACCACTGAAAATATGTACAATAGCTCTGGCATGGGCCTCCTGTACTGGCACCCCCACTCCCAAAAATCACAGCTTTGAGACTCTGATGTGCAGTGAAAAGGCGGTATATAAATAAAGATTACTACTAATGTACTCTTCCTGGTGTTATGCAACAATTGTACCATTCACATTGTGAAGGGCTCACCCCCGTAGCTTTTGGATTGGCGACAATTATTTCAAATCCTTGGTGCAAGGGACAGTTTTAAATATCTTATTGTTTAAAATGTCTTACTGAATACAATAGTACATACACTGTACATGTACATGAACGTGTTAAATTGCAGTTAGCCCATTGTGCACCATTCACATTAACATCCATGATGTGATCAACAGGAACAGATGATCAGATGATAGAGCTAAATTAACAAGAGTCAAGAGAGTTTACTACATCCACCTTTATCCCTCTCATGACACTATTTGATAACAACAAGGGACAGGGAGAGTTCTGTAGCACAATTTGACCAAATCCAATTAAAGACCTGTTTAACTAGTTTCACACAATACTGACTCAAGGTAATTATTACAGCCTCTGCAAACCAAATATATTTTTACAATCACAACCAAAACCTGATGGAATACATATGAATCCATAAATACTTGCAAGTCAACAGGAATTGTTTAAAATAAGACATTAATCCAGTTTTAGTTAGTTCAATTTACGTAATGGGAGTGAGATTCTTCCTCAAGGTATTTTTACTTGCTACTATACTGTGAAAGTAATGGAACAAGGTGGCTTAGTCAACATTAAACTTGGGAAAGTGCTGGGGAAATATGAGTTGTATTCAGACTTGGGTTTATGTGAATGGGATTTTTTTTCACCCACAAAGTTGTTGGTGTTTTTGTTCCTGTGACAAAAGCAAGAAGAGTTTGTCTAACGGCTGTGCCCCGACACACTCCATCTTGTGCTCGCTATTGTGTTGTCCATAATATTTACTTGAATGCTCCAGCGATTGTTGGCGCTAAGATGAAGAAAGATGATTGATGTATGTGCTGGCATAATCAATAGCGAAGCGAATTATCTGTACACTCCCTCGACTCGATCCATCTGTAAGGAATGATGAAAGAGTCTTCTGAAAACAAACAGAAAATGTGGCTAGCACTTTTCTATTATTTTGTCCAAGCACACACAAACACACGCACACATCCCCCCCCCACACACACACACTATCCATATGGGATCAACAGATGCTTGGCACAGAGAGAAATGGCTATGTTGGATAGCATATGTTCCCTGCTTGACTTGATTCAGACAAAAGTCACAATTTAACAAAAAGAACATTTAAGTCTACCATATACACAACATGCATGTTGTTTTACGTTTAAATTTTCTAAATGTTTTTAATGTGATTTAAATTGGGCATTTGAAAAGTCAGAGCCTTGTGTCATCTTAACATAATTTCCCCATTATAGTTCAGTAAGCCTTTTGTTCCTTTTCAATGCACATAAGTAAATCTCCAGCAGAAGACCAATACATTTTATATACATATACAGAAACATAATTGTCCTCTCAATCCGCAGTTGCAAAGAGAATAGTGCAGTTCTTTCCACTCAACACACGGCACCTTTTACAGAATAATTACTATCTGCTCAGCTCTCCTGATCCTGATATATTCATCTCATGTGGCTCTTTTAATATGAACTAAGCCCAGGTGAGACTCAATTACAATGGCAGGCAGTAAGAAATAGAACGATATATTGGATAGTCAATGTAAAGACGGACCGGTGGCTTTGGCAAAGAAAAATTACTCCACTGTAAAAAAAAAGGTATAGTCGGAAAAGCCTACTGACCCAAATGTCAACTATCATTGAGAATATTTTACACTTGAATTTCATTGTTAAAGAAGAACATTTTTCAAAATGCATAAACGTTTGCAATTTTGTTTTGATATTGTTAAGTCAAAGTAAGAAAAAGGTACGCTTTCAAACACACACTAACATTTACTCAAGATTACTTTTTTTATCTGGTTGTATAACATTTTGCCTTTTCAGGATTAAACTTCACTATTGTAAATGAGGAAAGTCTAACAGATGAATAAATTGCCAAATCTGATACCCTTCAGCTTTGTTTTGAAAGTGACTTCAAACATATCAGTCTTGATTGATGAACAAGGAAGCCATTTTTCTTTTATTGACCTTCGCAATGACTCCTGTGTTTCCTTGATTTAAAAATGTTTGATGAGGTTAGATTTCTCTCTGAACACGGGCCCTGTTTATCACCGGAACAATTGATTGACTCTCATTTTGCCATAACTCCTTGAATAATGATTTCCCCTTTTGTGTTGTGCTTTTCTCTCCCTCACAGGCTCTGCTCTGCGGCGTCGCTGGCTAGTGGTCCAACTCCTCATGCAGGTGTGGCTGGCAGCCAACCCATCCCTGAGTGAGCGCCAGTGCCCCAAGAGCTGCCGTTGCGATGGGAAGATAGTTTACTGCGAATCCAGCGCCTTTCGCGATGTGCCCAAGAACCTTTCTGGAGGCTGCGAAGGCCTTTCTCTGCGTTACAACAGCCTTGCCAGTCTCCGGGCTGGGCAGTTTGTAGGCCTTAATCACCTTATATGGCTCTACTTGGATCATAACTACATTGCAACAGTGGATGCGGTGGCTTTCCAGGGAGTCCGCAGACTTAAGGAACTGATTTTAAGTTCCAACAAGATCACATCTCTCCACAACACAACATTTCACCCAGTTCCTAATTTGCGCAACCTGGATCTGTCATACAACAAACTGCAAGCCTTGCAACCTGGGCAGTTTCAAGGGCTCCGCAAACTTCTAAGCCTTCACATACGCTCAAACTCTCTGAAAACCGTCCCAATGCGTCTCTTCCAAGATTGCAGGAATTTGGAGTTCTTGGATCTTGGCTACAACCGTCTACGCAGCATCACTCGCAATGCTTTTTCTGGCTTGGTCAAACTCACCGAGCTGCACTTGGAGCATAACCAGTTTTCAAAGATCAATTTCTCCCATTTCCCGCGCCTGTACAATTTGAGGGCATTGTATTTTCAGTGGAACCGCATTCGCTCCATGAGCCAGGGCCTAACCTGGACCTGGGCCTCCATCCAGAAAATGGATCTGTCTGGAAACGACTTAATGGAATTGGACCCGGTAGTTTACCAGTGTCTGCCCAATCTCCAGACGCTAAACCTGGACTCCAACAAGCTTACCAATGTGTCCCAGGAGGTGGTTGATGCCTGGGTGTCCCTGACCACCATTAGCTTAGCGGGAAATGTTTGGGACTGTAGCCCAGCCATCTGTCCTCTGGTGAGCTGGCTGAGGAATTTCCGTGGTGCCAAAGAGACCACGATGATTTGCGCTTCTCCCAAGAAAGCCCAAGGTGAGAAAGTAATGGATGCGGTCGAAGCTTTCACCGTATGTCAATTGTCTCCTCTAACCACGTTACAAAGCAGCACGCCGACTCCGTCCCACATCCCCGCTCAAACTGAAAAGCGTCCCGTTATCATGGCTATCCCTACCGGATCTGGCAAACGTGGTGGGTCACTTCAAGGCCCTACCTTGCCATCTGCCACCCCACCTGTTGTGCAGCCACCTGAGCAAGAACTGGAACCAGTCTCCTTCCACAAAATTGTTGCCGGAAGCGTTGCCCTGTTCCTATCCGTGGCCATGATCTTGTTGGTGATTTACGTGTCTTGGAAGCGTTATCCCAGCAGTGTCAAGCAACTCCAGGAGCATTCGGCGGCTGCACGCAAGCGGCGCAAGAAAGCCAGAGAAACGGAACGCACCCTTAGCTCCCCTCTGCAGGAGTACTATGTGGACTACAAGCCGACCAACTCTGAGGCCATGGACGTGCTTGTCAATGGATCCGGTCCGTGCACCTACACCATTTCAGGCTCACGAGAATGCGAGGTATGACCCATCCTACCATCGCCATTCCCTCCAAATCATAACATGCTCTCATCGAAGCGGCATGAGGTAATTGCTTGCTTACTGAGATGACAGATGTTTTTGTCCTCTTTTTGGATATCTGCTACTTGAATGGATTATTTTGTTGTGCTGCTGGAGAGAACGTTGGTTTTAGTGCCACGTCGTGTTAAATGAGATCTGTTGTTTTGCGATGACAGTGGAAATTTTTCAAAGCCTCCCCCAATCTCTGCTGGGATGTAATTGTTTATTTTGCCATAAACTTGGACGGGAATACAGTAAATGGGGATGATTACACTTTCTGACAAAGACATCATCAGGCAGTGGTTGTATGCCTTCTTTGCCTGGTACAGTACAGACTGCTTTTATATGTGCGACACGTTCAATATTTGTTGTGTTGGAACATTGCTGAGTGTGCGGAGATCCGGCCTTGGACTTGAATGTTGATACTGGTTATTCATGCGGAAAGATCAGTCTTACCTCATTTGGAAAGTTACTTGTGCTCTTTTTCATCTTGCTCAATTTGTATCAATTGTTCTTGAAAATAAATGGGTTATAGATTATATAGTTGTTGTCCAATGCAATTATCAATGCACCATGCTCACCTGGTTTCCTACCAACTAAGATATTTTTTGCTGGCGGTCGGCCTTCACATTGTGAACATTTTCGTAAATTTGTATTTAACTTGAAAACACAGTATATTAGACAGCCTTTTGCTACCAAAAGAATTTGTACATACTATGACCTTACACGAACACCTGTATTTATGCGTTGGTTGTACAGGTAAAACTCAGAAAACTAGAATATCTTTCACAAGTTAAATTATTTCTGTAATTCAACAAACCAATATATGATATAGACTTATTACATGCAAAGTGACATACGCTATATCTTTATTTGTTATACGGTTATAAGATAATTATGGCTTACAGTCATTTTCAACATATTTTAATGTTCTGAGATGTTTAATTTGCTCTATTTTCAAGGTTTGATCATCCCACTTTGCATATATCTATCATATTAGTTTGACATTTACAGAAAGTAAATTTGAGTACAGTTTTGTACAGTATTCTAATTTTCCGAGTTTCACCTGTTGTTACCAATGTTATTGATTTCTAAAATGTGTATCTTATTTTTGTTTAAAAGAATTACCCAAATATTTTATAATAAACTCTGATTAAGTACATATATTGTTTTTTTATTGAAGTCTAAAGATAAATGAATATACACATGTCTTTAATCTATTGCACTGCAGTCGTGTTAAGTTGAGAGGAGTCACTCACCGCCTGTACTCTCATTACGGCGGAGGGCAGGGTAAACGGTTGCGACATGGCAGCCGTGATTTGTGGTCCTCCTCTGCAATCAAATCAGCCTGAGCGCTCTGACTTTGCATATTTCGGCTCAGTCTGCATTCACTAAATCCTGATATCCACTGGAGCAAATTGGGAGCTACACACCCTACCTTCTTTTCAAATTATAAAGCACCAAATACCTTGCATTTATTGGTATGTCTCTCCAAAATCCCGTTAGCGAGCTCGTAAAGCAATCTATAAAGCGGTCTGCAGACGCTCGTGTAATAGAACAAGTTGCCCTAGGCTCCGGCAATCCTCTTCTTCACACCAAACAAATAGGCCAGTAATATATATCTACTGAAATACTGTTTAGTGAGCAGGTAGAATGATGCTACGCTATAGTCTAAAACCTTAATGGCACAATTACGTGTCAGTGCAGAGAACATAGTGAAACATGAGGAAATACGATTCTCCCAGTCACTGCCGGGGACTGAAAATAGAAGATTATAGACCGACTTACACTGCTCCCTTAGAGGAAAGACTAGTGTACTGGTCACAAAACCAACCCAAATTATAATTAAATGGAAATAATTATAATTTTTTCCATTAAGACCTACTTCACGACTCCCACTGATGACTGCTGTCGTTGTGTCCTTGGGCAAGACACTTAACCCCACTTTGCCTGAAGCTCCCACTGAAAGATCTCAGCTCCTGTGGACTCACCACCTGCAGGAGGATCAGTGAGGGGCTGGTGCTCTGTGTACTGGGTGCAGCTCTGGCTGCCACCCCCCCCCGACCCAGAAATGGATTAAGGGGAAGAAAATGGATGGATGGATGAAAATATTACTGTCTATAAGTGTTACTAGGACAATTGTAATATTGTTCAAAAGTCGGTTTACTTCTGATATTCAACTAGCAATATGGAACTAATTGAAGATAAACTCATAACATGCAAAGTAAGATATACCAAGCCTTCGTTTGTTATGTTGATAATTATGGCTCACAGCTGGTAAAAAAAAAAAACCCTCAATACATTTTCCAGAAAAAATAGAATATTTTGAAATTGGCTTATAAGCCATAATCATCACACTTATAAACACAGTCTTGGCATACATTATATGTCTATAATCGAACAATATTCTGATTTCTGAGTTTCACCGGCATGTTTCAATACTCCACTTCTATTCAACTTTAAGGCAGGTGTTCTGCCAGATGCAAAATCAAAATCCAACATTTAATTTATTTTCATTATTGTCTTTCATTCAAAATATTATGACGACAAAGCTTCCAGCAGTCCTTATTTAGCTTTGATAAGCATCATCATGACACTAGACATTCCACAGCCAGAAAATGTGTTTTGCCCAAATGAAGATCAAACAGTTGGAAGAGAACTTTCATTTACAAAGCAACAGTGAATCAATCACTCTAGAAGTAAAAACAAAAAGGTTTAATCTGTTAAAACTGTTAAATAATATGTATTCATTTTGATTCCTCTATAATTATATATTTTGATAATATATACTGTATTGCTTATGTTGTAAGTATTTTCTGAATATATTGTAAATGCATTTTCATTTAATTTACTTTATTTGATTTGGACTCCAGGCAGAGTTTGGATCTCTTCAATAAACAAACACGGCATCTAAAAACAACGTATATGGTTTAGCATTCGATGAATATGGGAACTTTTATAGTCTATTCCAGGGGTGCTCAATACGTCGATCGCGATCTACCAGTCGATCGCAAAGGTAGTATTGGTAGATCGCATTGAATAAATAAAAAATTACACATTCTAAACGAATATATACAAAAAACTCCGGGCAAAGTGGAGATTTTTGAAAAATCCGTTAATGCATTTGTGTGTAGACAGAGATAACCAGAGTTTTGTGTTCTCGCACGCCACAGTACCCCCCTAAATTCCTCTGATCACTGAAGCATGGATCATACGACCTTAAAAACTGTTCGCTGTGAGATGCTTGCAGCAGCGAACATCCTCGCTCCACATCAGAGAGCAGCAAAGTGATCGCGGGGACTCACGCTCGAAAACAACCAAACCAGGACCAAACCAGGACTAAACCAGGACTAAACCAGGACTAAACCAGGACTAAACCAGGGCTGAGGACGGGGTCAGTGCTTGTAAACATACGTCTTTACTCTGAGTGTCTTCTATGACTGTAAAAGTGCCGTTACCGGCGTCTGCATCAAAGCTCCGCCCACTTCCGTGTTTTTCCCCAACGCAGGACAGGACGTAAGAGACGCCTGTGAAGAGAGTGTGGATGCAAATTATTTTATAAACTGAGGAGGGGAAATATTTGGATTTAAAAAAAACAGGCATGGCACATGGACATGGCACCACAGTCAAATGACATCTGTGTTTTACTCAGTAATGTTTTACTGACACTTAGGTGACTGCACATGCGCAAACAACCGCGCTCAGTGCAGGAAAGCTAAACCACGACAAACTTGTCAGCGAGTTACCACCAATTTTCCGGACTATGCATCCCTGGCCGATTCAATTCAGTGAAAGTCATAAGAGTAAACTCGGGTAATGACAAAAAATGTACATAGGTAATTGTGTTGTGTTGTGCTATATTGGCTCATGCGGTTTTGCATGTACATAAACATACATTGTAGATATAAAGAATATTTTTTGAAATAAATATATGATTTGCATTTTTGTAGTAGGTAGATCATTTTGACTTGATCCTTTTATAAGTAGCTCGCATGCTGAAAAAGTGTGAGCACCCCTGCTCTATTCTGACATTGGATTTATTTGAATTTTTAAGTAATTAATGATGAATGAATGAATCATAAATAACTACACCTTTACAAAACTGCACATAAAAAAAAAATCTCAATGCAGCTGTGTACATGCTACCTGTTATGTCATTTAGTCATCTTGTCTTATGCCCGCAGCTATCCCGGCTGCTCTATTAATAGGCATGCGGCATCATACAGTGTGGGAGGGGCTTATTCTTGACCTAAAAAGTCCATTGTCTGGGTTTATATGTTTAAAGTGACTTCCCTTTCAGTGGTCCAAAATAGAGGCCTTGTGCCAAGTAAAAGTATAACCATGTTGTATGATAATTAGAGCCTTTACAATTAGCTGTTATCTTTGCTAGACCTGCTAATTTGCAAATGCTTTTATACTCTGACCCCAATTAAGTATGAATTGCAGTATGGAAAATACATTGATGGCATGTGTACTTCAATGACAGAAATGGTAATTATGCTAAATGCTTAAGTGAGCCCATTATGAATAAACTGTACATTTCTTATTTAGGGTCACATTTTCGAATTAAACCCAGGTCAATTAAAAGTGAGCAGAGGAGATTTTTTTTAAAGGCTACAGAAAAGTTTTAGTGACAATACTCCGGTGATGGCTCTGCATGACGCTGTACTGACTGTCGGGTATTCATTTCTTAAGCTCCAGAAGGTATAGTTATCAATCCATCCATTTTATTCTTCTTTATCCATTTTGGGTAACAAGGGCTGTAGTCTGAGCGGAGATGACCTATCCAGAACCATTTCATGGACCTATGCAACCCAATCCACTTAGTTTATATATGGCATTTATTTAGGGTTCTAGCTTCTATGCTGCACAAAGACGACAAATAGCAACACAAAAAAACAGACTTAAAGTTACGTTGTTCAGTTAAAAGCATTATTTTCCTCTCTCTAGTTGGTCCTGTTAAAAAA